AGCTAGTGGGAAGCAGCTGCATAGCACAGGGAGATCAGCTTGGTGCTTTGTGACCACCTAGAGGGGTGGGATAGGGAGGGTGGGAGGGAGACACAAGAGGGAGGAGATAGGGGGATATATGTATGTGTGTAGCTGATTCACTTTGTTATACAGCAGAAACTAACACAATATTGTAAAGCAGTTATACTCCAATAAAGATTTTTTAAAATGCTTAATAAACTTCTGTATGTATGACCAAATTTGGTAGAAGATTTGCTTCCATTCCAAACTGGGAGCTAAGTTGTAGGGTAAATAGTTTACCCTTATATACCTCAGTCTTCTTTTAACAGCTATTATCAACTAGTAAGGCCTAAGAGCTGTGCATCCTGACCCAATTGACTCAGGCCGGTTGATAATAATGGAGACATGTGATTTCCTTTTAGCTCAGGGCCTCTCACATGATTCACCCCTTGTTTCATTCAAGTCTGTCTGTTTAAATGTCAGCCCTTTCCAGCAGCCTTCCTTGATGAATCTAACCCAATCAGCCAGTGGAAACACACACACTCTCTCACACATGCTATCTGTCACTACAAATCCTGTCTCATTCTTCTCATTGGCACTGATCAAACCTGAATTATAATATATTTAGCAACGTGTTTATTTGTTTTTGTTTTTCTCCTCCTCCAGCATGTAAGCACCATAACTTGCTCACTGCTGAAACCCTGGAGCTTGGAACCACATGGGCATATGTTAGAAGTTAATCATTAAGTGTTGATTAAACACATTAATGGACCTTTGCAAAAAAATCTACAGTTGTCAGGTGGCAGCTATGGGGCACTGGGGCTTTAAGGCACAAAAGGGATAGTTTAAAACAAGTGACTGGCTGTCAACTTTTGGTCATGTAACTCTGCCTTGCCACCCACTCCCCTTGCCATTCTCATCCTCTTGAACACCTGGATTCCCAGTCTTTTACATAAGCTCACCTAGGTTCAACTTCTGGTTCCTAAGACCAGTCCAACTGTATAAGAAGCTCAGCAAATGAAGTTTCTTTGCCAGGTGATGTGTTTTGACTCTTCATGGGTCAGCTCGTATGCCTCAACAGAAATACTGAAATACAGTGACCGGTTGCTAATTAAAAGGACAGGGCCTGGGGGTGGAGGTGGTTGCTAGGCAGAAAGAATGTGCTAAATAAATTGATAATGCAAACAAAACTTGGGAGGACACTTTCAGTCCACATGGAAGGACACTCTGTTTTCAAATATTGCTTAAGTAGATAAGAAGCAACTATTTGTCTAGCCAAAAATTGATAATGCCAAATACAAATCATTCTTCATTAAAGCAATTCTCCTAAGTTTCTTTACCAGGCAGCAGGCAGCAGGCAGCAGTTTGCTAATCAGGTTGTAGCATATATTTGCAAAAAAAAAAAAAAAAGTAGAAGAAGAAGGAAAGATAGGTATCTCTAACTAGATCACTCCTCCCAGAATTGGTCTGAATAAAGTTTTAATCTCCAGCACCAACAAAAATAACATGTGTGACTCAATTAGTAGTGGTGGTGGTGATGGTAGTGATGGTGGTGGTGGTCATGATAGTGGTGATGGTGGTGGTGATGGCGGTGATGGTGGTGGAGGTGGTGGTGATGGAGGTGATGGAGGTGCTGGTGGTGGTGATGGAGGTGGTGGTGATAGTGGTGGTGGTGATGGTGGTGGAGGTGGTGGTGATAGTGGTGGTGGTGATGGTGGTGGAGGTGGTGGTGGTGGTGGTGGTGATGGCGGTGATGGTGGTGGTCGTGATAGTCGTGGTGGTGGTGGTGGTGGCAGTGATGGTGGTGGAGGTGGTGGTGATGGAGGTGGTGGTGGTCATGGTGGTGGTCATGGTGGTGATGGTGGTGGTGGTGGTGGTCGTGGTGGTGATGGCAGTGATGGAGGTGATGGTGGTGGTGGTGGTGGTGATCGTGGTGATGGTGGTGGTCATGGTAGTACCAGTAATAGCTAACACCACCTGTGGTCCTGTGGACCACAGGCCCTAAGACATGAACTCCCACTGCATATGGCTTTAGTCTTCTCTTCCACAAGTTCAGGTTTCACAGAGTGTGTTGGGACTGGCAGCTATGAGGGTTGACCTTCAGGTCCTCATCTTTGCTGAGTTTAGATTTGGAGAAATGTTGCCATCTAGTGCCCCATGGGAGTCTTAACTCTTTAAGCCGATAAACCAGTCTCCCTCTGCCTAGTTCCACCCACCCTCCCAGATAAAATGTCAGGTAGACCACAACCTAGTATTGGTGAGCATCGCTCTCTTACCTACAGTAGGAACCATGGAAATGTCTCCAGAATTTTAAAAAATCCCTTTTCCCTTTACAAAATGTACAGAGTAAGAGCTAGGCAAAGGCAAAGGAACAGCAACAGAATTAAAATTGATATTGAGTTAATATTTACCATGTATAGCATATTAAACTCAGTGAGGAATGGGGCAAAGAAATTAGGAGAGTTCAAGATAAAACAGTGAAATACGTGAAGAGAGTCATTGGTCTGGCCTTCCCTTGCACTTTGAGTCCCCTCCCTTCTGAATCTCTCAGACCCTTCCAGGTGCACCAAGCTATAAACCTTCCCACCCTCACCCACATAAAGCCACTAGTCTGTTTTCTCAAGGATGTCCTCTTTCTTTCTGCAGTAACAGTTGCTAAATCCATAATCTACTTCTGCTCTTGTTTCTTGACCTTCCCCTGTCAGGTAGAAGAGGTATATATATATTTAACATCTTTATTGGAGTATAATTACTTTACAATGGTGTGTTAGTTTCTGCTCTATAACAAAGTGAATCAGCTATACATATACATATATCCCCTTATCTCCTCCCTCTTGCGTCTCCCTCCCTCCCACCCTCCCTATCCCACCCCTCTAGGTGGTCACAAAGCACCGAGCTGATCTCCCTGTGCTATGCGGCTGCTTCACACTAGCTATCTATTTTACATTTGGTACTGTGTATATGTCAGTGTTACTCTCTCACTTTGTCCCAGCTTACCCTTCCTCCTCCCCATGTCCTCAAGTCCATTCTCTACATCTGCGTCTTTATTCCTGTCTTGCCCCTAGGTTCTTCAGAACCTTTTTTTTTTTTTTTTAGATTCCATATATATGTGTTAGCATATGGTATTTGTTTTCTCTTTCTGACTCACTTCACTCTGTATGACAGACTCTAGGTCCATCCACCTCACTACAAATAACTCAATTTCATTTCTTTTTATGGCTGAGTAATATTCCATTGTATATATGTGCCACATCTTCTTTATCCATTCGTCTGTGAATGGACACTTAGGTTGCTTCCATGTCCTGGCTATTGTAAATAGAGCTGCAATGAACATTGTGGTACTTTACTCTTTTTGAATTATGGTTTTCTCAGAGTATATGCCCAGTAGTGGGATTGCTGGGTCGTATGGTAGTTCTATTTTTAGTTTTTCAAGGAACCTCCATACTGTTCTCCATAGTGGCTGTATCAATTTACATTCCCACCAACAGGACAAGAGGGCTCCCTTTTCACCATACCCTCTCCAGCATTTATTGTTTGTAGAGTTTTTGATGATGGCCATTCTGACTGGTGTGAGGTGATACCTTACTATAGTTTTGCTTTGCATTTCTCTAATGATTAGTGATGTTGAGCATCCTTTCATGTGTTTGTTGGCAATCTGTATACCTTCTTTGGAGAAATGTCTATTTAGGTCTTCTGCCCATTTTTGGATTGGGTTGTTTGTTTTTTTCATATTGACCTTGCATGAGCTGCTTGTAAAGTTTGGAGATTAATCCTTTGTCAGCTGCTTCATTTGCAAATATTTTCTCCCATTCTGAGGGTTGTCTTTTTTTTTTTAATAAATTTATTTATTTTATTTATTTATTTTTGGCTGCATTGGGTCTTCGTTGCTGTGCGTGGGCTTTCTCTAGTTGTGGCGAGAGAGCGCTACTCTTGGTTGTGGTGCGTGGGCTTCTCATTGCAGTGGCTTCTCTTTGTTGCAGAGCATGGGCTTTAGGCACACGGACTTCAGTAGTTGTGGCACGCAGGCTGAGTAGTTGTGGCTCGTGGGCTCTAGAGTCCAGGCTCAGTAGTTGTGGTGCAGGGGCTTAGTTGCTCCGCGGCATGTGGGGTTTTTCCAGATCAGGGCTTGAACCCGTGTCCTCTGCACTGGCAGGCGGATTCTTAACCACTGCACCATCAGAAAAGTCCACTGAGGGTTGTCTTTTCATCTTGTTTATGTTTTCCTTTGCTGTGTAAAAGCTTTTAATTTTCATTAGGTCCCATTTGTTTTTTGTTTTTATTTCCATTTCTCTAGGAGGTGGGTCAAAAAGGATCTTGCTGTGATTTATGTCATAGAGTGTTCT